TGTATATGTATGCAAGTATGCGATATGTGTCCGAAATACTATGTACTCTGATTTAATTTATGCTGTTTTTTCGTTGGAAATTTATCGTTATAATAATTATATGTTCGTCAGTGATATTCGTCTACAGCAGCTAGTGTTAGAAATAGCGCAGACACATCCCGCACAATTTACAAAATGTATAATTTATATTAAACTAAAGAATTAAAAAATTATTTTTAGTTACAAAAACTAGCTTAATGGTATTTATTTGGTGCTTACAGTAAAATGTGCACTTTAAACATCACCACATATTAAAATATAATCCACTGTGTTTTAAATAAATTAATAAGAGTATAGTGATCCGGATTATTCAATATATATATATATGCAACCGTTTATGATGTATATATAAAAACTAAAACATGCATTTTTCCAAAAATTAAATTTGACTGAATAATAAATTAGTTATGCGTATTGGAATATATTATGTGTAACTGGCAATAAAAATAGGCAAGTACGTGAAATTATAAAATGTGTGTGGAAATATTTAGAAGTCGGGTTGGAAGAGAAGGTATTAAAGAGTAATTCAGTTTATATCTATATGCAACAATAAACCATTGCCGAAGTAAATGATTCTGAACATGCTATTATCAGTATTATTCATCTTGTTGCCAAGATAACTTGCTGTTCAACAAAAATACAGTACTTACCAATTATATTAGAAAACGTACATGTATACAAAACCGTAAACGGAAACACAATTTATGATTTGAAGAACAAAGACAGCATATTGAAACCATAATTATGACTTTCCGTATTTGAACCAGAAAAAAATGTGTTATTAACAAGCATTATAAATTTAACATTTAAAATTTTATAAATGTGTACGGGTTTTAAATGAAATTTCATACATTGTGCGGGTTACATTGTTTTTGGTTTGAAAAACAATAGGAGTAAATATAGTGTTGGCATCGATGTTATTATCAAATATTTGTTCCACATTTTGATCTCTAGAATCTTATTGTAAAAAAAATGATAAAAAAACGAAAACAATTACTCCAAAAAAATGACGGTTTAAATTCTGTAGTTCAATTATCATCAAATATTTGATTCGTATGAAAATTGCCTGATGTTTTACAACAACTAAGGGAACAATAATAATGATCGTCTAATCTAGAGATGTGATAATATTATAACATAATACTTTGGTTCGTCAAGTAATATTTGATCAAAATCGAAATTGAAAACATTCAACATAAATTGTTTTATAAAGGTAATATAATAGTACCTGTATGTTTTCAGTACCCATAAAGATACAATTCAGTGGAAATCTATTGAACCTATTATTAATAGTTGACCTTTAATAACGGTTAATCTCCAAGATAAATTATTTTTTAATAAACGTATTAAAGCTGTACGCTTAAAATAATAATATATTATGGCCGACAACAACAAGTAATTCAAAACCAGATAAAAAAAAAAGGAAATGGCAGGCAACATGCTTCGTTTTTATTCGTTTATATTATATTGTTAATCAGTGATGGTTGAATTTAATATAATGGTTTATCAATTATACAATACTAAAACACAATATACATTTTACACGCATTTTAACACATATAACAAAAAACGAAAGGTTATACTGTCCAATTATTAAAAAAACTTCGTTCTATTAAATCGCATAATTTTAATGACATGCAGATACCTACCAAATAAAAATACATATAAAAACACGAAATTATCAAATACCTATAAAAACTCTAAAAATAGGTAGTATTCAAAAAAATGTTTTGAAAATTTTACGTCTACAAAGGCTAGTAAAAGTATTTGTAGAAAACTACAGGTCTCTACAATAATTTTTAACCGAATAATAACGAAATACCCAAATGCCGTACACTTTGTCGTATTTTCTACGTTTTTCCCCGGGTTTTGGTAATTATTAGAAAAACTATGCAGAAAATTAAGCAATGACCTTCTTACTTACAAAACTAGATAACATTTTCGTTTAGAAAATATGTCATTCATGAAATTTGGACAAATATTTCTGGTGGAAAATATAATTCTCAAAAAGAGCTGATACTGTTGACGGGTGTGGCCACTGTTATAGGTGGGTAGTTTTGGAAGGTGGGAAACATAAAGTTATTTAATTTATATATTTACGACCAATACATTGCTAATAAAAAACGATTTAGAGCAAAGTTCGTTTATGTATGTTTTGAAAGGCAATAATTTTTACGATTTTCATCAACATTTGATATTAAAATTCATTAAGCACAAATTTTTATTTTTTTAACCAAATAATATGATATTTAAGGAACTTCCTATTTAATATTTAAGCATTTTGGTTTAGTTTAACAATTTTATCCATAGAATACCTAACGAATAAAAATTACGTAAAAAACTGGCAAAATAAAACTGTCTATAGATGGCTCAAACGTTTTAAAAATTTTACGTCTACAAACAGGATACACATTGCATTACTTGATTGTTCAGTTGACTATACCAAATGTAGTGATAATCAAACGAATGAAAAATACAATAACAAACACAGTAAATACGATTAAGTTTAATTATGGGACGCACAAGCCGATTAGACAAACGATCATACAAATTATCTGTCATTATCCGTCTATCTTCATTCTATCGATCCGTTGACGAGATGTTTCACTTTTAATTTCAGGTTGGAGGAGAGTAGTGGTGCATTATTAACACACCACGCGCCGTACCGTCACACAATTGATACTCCACCACTCACCTCTAACCAAAACTTAAATGTGTAATATCTCGTCAACGAATTAACACAAATCAAAAATTTCAACGCTAAAATTTATCATAACTAATATTCCATATATTTATGGACTTTTTAATATAGATTGCCATTTGAAAATCAAATGTAGGTAGTGGTTTTACCACCAAAAATAAGGGTGATGAAAATTAATATAAATATAAATTTGTAGAGCAGCTTGTTTCTTAAATTTTCTAGAGCACAAATTCCGGAAAAAGTTAGTACTTTTCTAGATAATGAGTGTACCCATTTAAATGAATCACCTAATACAATAATATAATAAATTAATAACTATATATTATTATACATAGAATAATGTATACTTCTGTTTAAACGTTTAAAATGATAAATAATTTATTGAAATAAAAGTGTATTTGATATTTTATTAATATTATTATAAATGTATAGAATACATAATTATATAAATATTGTAATTATTATTACTAAATGTATTACTTTATTCGTAGTTGAATAAAAAGTCCAAGTATACAAGTAAACAGCAAACATAATATTTGTACATATAGTTATTATTACATATATATAACTACTATAATATAATAAATAATACTAATAAATATAATAATTATTATTATAGACGAAAACATATAATATATTTAAAACGTTAAATCGGTTACTTGTGGAAATATAGTTGTACGAAAATCTTAAAAAAATAAATAATACGAGAAAATAAATAAAACGTATGCTGAACTAAGATAGAGCGTGGATTTACGAGTGTATGGTATTGTATGTTTTTTTATTTTTTTTTTTTAATAATTCTTACGAACCATACTAATTATAGAAGCCTTTTACGACATTTTATTTTGCAATTTCGCGTATGTATTGCATAATTTACTATATAATATTCAAATATATTTATTGCGTATTTCAATGAAAATATTATGTTCTAAAATGAAAAAAATGGGTCAGACATCACCGTAACGACAACGCTCCAGTTTCATTCCAGACAGGATTTCCCATGAAATAGAACTATAGCTATAGCCGAAGAAAAGCTTGAATATCATTTAGTAAATAATTTCAATACTAAAAAATGATTAATAAAACACTTATTTTTATAAATATCGCATATTATACGTTATACTATAAAACAAGTGTTTTGTACCTTCCAATTTATAATTTTCTTTCATTTTTTTCTTTTTCTTTTTACTGTTTATCATATGACATATTTTAATACTTTTTATCGCATATAAATCTGCTCTCTAATTATGGGTAATGTCAGAAACAAAAGGTACAAAATAATTGCGGACATCTACAGAATCGCAATAATTCGTCTAAAATCTAAGTCTCGTAAGGGAGTACATAAAGAAGGCCACATTTTGTAAATGTAGACCATCAAGGATATTATGGATATAAGTACACCATGGTACAAATTGTGATAGGCATGATGGATATGGATTCAAAAGTTTAATTTACGGTTAAAATAGTTACACGGGATTTAAAAGAATGGCCTGTATATTATTTATATTATTATCACAAACCTTATACTAATACACTGGTCTTATCTATAGAGTAGCGGACGTAGTAACCGTTCAGACATACTGCAGCGGTGTACAGTATAATCACAACACTATTGTCATCGTATGTGTAGTACAATGCACAATAATACCTCGTAAAAGTCACAAGTCATACGCGAAGAGCGTCCTCGACTGATGACTGTTCTACATGTATAAAAATCCAGTATATTAGTATAAGGTCTATGATTATTACGAAATATTTTAATTTTACAATGTACGAGTGCAGGTAAAACAAATTTTAATTTTCGTTTTGATATAATTGTATAATATGAGACTGCTACACTGTTCGTTACAGTGTGACCCATATAAAAAGTTAATTGGTAAGTACGTCAAACTAAACCATGTGGTTTAGATTTACTGAAATCATTTATTTAATGCTACACTCCCCTTACATATTAAATACAATATTTATAATAACTTGGTTTCGGATTTGAAAGCAAAAGCTTTTTTTATTGTTTATACTGCCTTAAAATCCGAGCCCTAATAAAGTGTTTACTGTTCAATTAGTGAAATAATAATTTTCGATATTTCTATGATAAAAAAATCGTTAGAAGTGGAAATGAATTATTTATTAGACAGGGGTTCGCCGAGAAAGTCGGAATGTATTGACGGGTCGGAAAATGAAAATATAAAGGATTCAATATAAATTATTAAGGCCACTAGGTACTGCAGGTGTTATAATAAATGAATTTCGCAGGTATCGTTCATATTATATTATTTTGTAACCCGTAACCGTTACTCCACGTCTGCTGCGAAGACTGCTGCATCTGCTGCTGCAGATCCCCGGCACCCACCGTTGCCGTTTGATCGCTAACGACTGCACCGGCGACGTATGACTCCATACTATACCCCAACTGCGACTTTAAATTTACCCCGGCCGCGGCCGTTTGATCGTTGACGACACCGGAGGCGTAGGACACCAGGTTGTAGTTGCTGCCGCCGGACTTACCGTACATCGCCGTGGAGTAATCCGTCCGCTGCATCTGCCGGTTGTGTTGCCTTACGTTAACGTCGGATTTGGGAACTTGCGGCGTGCCGTAGACAAAATCTTGACCGTAATTGTTGTACGGAGGAGGCGGCGGTCTGGTCGCCGGTATCGGCGCTTGATACACCGCGGTGGTGGCCGTAGTGGCGGTGGCGACGGTGTTAGCGGAATTCTTGTAATTCCAATTATTGGAGTTGTTGCGGTCCTGTTCGTACATGAACACGTTTTGCAACTTTTGCCGGACCGCCATTCTTCTGTGCAGTGGCACGTCTTGCAAGTACGGCAACAGGCTCATCATGAACTGATAACTATCGTCTTGCCGCATCTGATCCCCGGTCGCGGCCGGTCCGACTTGTTGCCACTGTAGGTTTGGATATTTTACCTGCAGCTCGTTGGTGACGACGTTCACCTTTTGTAACAATATCTTCCTCTCGACTGTCGAGGGATATTCGTCGTTCGTGGTCACCAACGTGTCAAATTTCATTTTATTGTTCACCAGCTGCTGAAGCAGAGCCCTAGACGCCGACTGGTCGTGCAGACTAACTTGAGACGACGTTGTCACAACGGTGGCAACCATCCCGTCGTTATTATAATTTATGTTACCGGTATTATTGGCGGTACTTGAACCGCCGCCTGCAGCAAGATAATCCGACGATACTTGCACCGGGTTTGGGGCAACGGCGGCGGCGTTCTCCTCGAGACGTATCAGATTGTCCGGAATCGTGTTAGACAACTTGGTTTTTCTTTTCTTGGCCGCTTTGGATTCGTTATTGTAAACCAAGGTCCTAAAATAATTCCACGGCTCTGACATCCTTATAACCTTAAAACATAGACGATTGTGTTATTTTCTAAAGATCTAATATTAAAATTAAAGAATTTAGAAGTAAAATTGAAATTTTTTTTTTTTTTTTTTTTAAATGGAACCTACAAAATATGACAATGTGGATACAATATTCGTGACATAACTATACGATCAAATTAATTTAAATTAACTGTATTTTTTTTAAGTATAGTTTTAAATTCAGAGCTTATTGTTTATTCACACTATATAGTGAGTTTTTTTGTTGTAAATCGGTTAAAAATTATCTTAGACAGAATAATTGTATTGGCTTTTTCTAGACGTGGTAAAATTTTTTTAGCTATTTTTATTAGCAATGGTTTATCGTTCCTTAAGATTAAGATATAGATTATAGATACTAAGATAGTTAAATAACTAAATGTATCCTATATACCTTCTTAACTTTTTATTTTGTCTCTAGACCTAATAACCTCTGTTGGAAAACACCGGGGAAAACGGGAAAATGTACGCAATAATAACGATTTCTGTTATTTTCGTTTTTTTGGATTTCAGTTAGAAATAATTACAGAGGCCTGCAATTTATTTATCTGGATACTTATATTAGCACATTCTAGGTATATTACTATTTACGTGGTTTCAATAAGAGTTGACTATTTTTAAACTAATTATAGCCATGAAATTAAAAATATAGTCATTTGAATATTTTTTATTTTAGATTCTGAGTGATGCGAGTAGGTATTATATTTTGGTTTTTCTACAAAAAATCTTATTGCAATCAAAAAATAATATAAGAGCTTTCTTTATCATTTCTGGTCGGTGCATTGGGGAGGTTATTTTCTGATTTTTAAAGTAGTTTTCATAATAATTGGGAAAAATCGGAGAAAACATTACAGGATAAATGAACAAATATTTATGATGTTAACGATATCATTTATTTTAAGTTTGTTTGATTTTTGTTTTCTACCAGAAATCTCGCTCTGCATTTTTATTTGGTAGATAGAGTACCAACAGAATATTCATTAAATTTTTAGACTAAACAGAAATGCTTAAAAATTTAACGGAAATTCATTATAATATTCTTATTTAGCGGTGAAAAACAATTTAGTGTAATTTTTTTATATATACGAATTTTAAAATCGAATCTTGCCAGAAATCGTACATTGTACGGCCTTTCAAATCAAATGGAAATAAACTTCGTTTTAAACGGTTTTTCGTTTGCAATGGTTTATCGTTGCTTACATACATGAATAAAATAACTTTATGTATTTCTTACTTTATAACACCTACAACATTAGCACACCTATCTCCAATATCAGTTATTTTTTATTCACGTTTTGTGATATTAAAAATTTCATGTTATTATTATTGTTATTGTAGATTATAGATAACTGTTGATAGCTATATATTTTGGTTAATTTAGAATTTTTGTCAAAATTTAGACGCAATTTAATTAAAAATATAGAATTTTTAAAAGAAATGTTTTTTTTTTTCAAATATTTCAATTTATTTCCTAGATCTGTACTAAAATATAATTTCAGGTCCAACGAAATGGGATATCAATAAAATTCCAATAACAAATAAAAATTGAATTGAAAATATTATGAATCATATTTCATAGATTTTAAAGATTATGACCGTCAGAAGTATCTAACGTATAATTGTCCGCATTTCCGAGCCTTTTATAATGTTAAGATTGTTTATTTGCTTAATATATAGGTATTTAATCAAAAATTATACTTACCACTTATAGTTAGTATATAGGTGGCAATATCTGTGAAAATGGTTTTCTTCTGACGCGTGGCGAAAAAATATCGTACATATATTAATTGTTAAATATTCAAAAAACGATTATTCACTCCGATCCGAATGCACGTTTTGTTTCAGTGGCGTTAACACACCGAATGAATTCGACGGTTTATATCGAATGTAAATTCTATGGAGAATACTTATGTATACGTACCACCTATATCGTAGTACAATGGTATTCGATTAGGTATATAATACAAATCGATTAACAGTTTTTACTTTTTGGAAATAATTTAATAACCGCGTGTGTTGTTCCTAAATGGCCATTAATGTACAAACGACATTAACGACCGCACTAATCGCTATATTGGTATCTGAGACCCCAATTTGTCGTACCCGAGGAGCGTTGTTATACTTAATAATCAGAACATTACTTGTATATATGCGGTATAATTATATCGCGCAGGTACTGTAGAGAGGGAAACCCGAATGCAGCCCCAAACATATATCAACAGTAGTTAAATATTGTATCATTATCCATCGGCCGTCTTCGATTATATACACATAATATACGGTAATATATGCATAGGCATTTGTTATTTTGTCATTATGTTTATATAAGTGCATTATTATTTGTGATATCCGCCATTCAGTGAAAAATTCATGGAGGCGGGTCTATCCCCAGATCCGGCCCCCAATGCTCTTTTAAATATACATTATTTAAACGGTGTATGGTTAAGAATATATTGAACAACAAACAGAAAAGTAGAACAGTAGTGAGTGTACCAAAGACGATAATGCTTACGTGGCTGAGTGGAGTGACACGAGAGAATATATAACATACATAAGAGCTAGACGAGGCTTAGACGTGGCTTCACTAGTGGAAATATTAGAGAAAATAAACTGAAATAGTTCAAGCATATCAGAAGACAGCTACCGACTATACCATTATTAAAATTTGATCAAATAGTTTTAGTTTTATTAAAGTATAAATATATAACACACGGACATATATATAATATCGCATTAATAAAATGAATTGTTTTAAAAGAAAATCGAAAATAATAAAACTTTTATTGCCGTTTTATACGGTTTTTTACAATTATTATTAAAACTATTTGGAAAAACTCCCTTTTTAATGCGCCGACTAGATTCGTAATTCTTCAAAATTAAACTCTTTTCATTTTTGAATAGAGCAAAATTGCTAATAAGAGAGTTGTTAACAAACTGAAAAAGTAATATGGGTATAGCATTAATCAGAGCCGTTTCTAACGGAACGCGAGAGTTGCATATACACCGGGCGCTATGACCAAGGGGGTGAATAGCCAAACAAACATTAATCGAAATTTTAAAATGTTTGTAATTGAATACTTTACACTAAAAATATGAAAAATAAATTTTTTAGATACTCGATGCTGATTTTGCTAGGCATACCACTGGTAATTACCATAAAAAAAACAATAGCTAACCTATCATACCTATATATTTATAATTATATGTATACCTATAAGTAAATTCTTTGCTATGCAAACATGTTAGTTGAACTAATATAATATTCCTCTCTGAGTTTCTCCACAATGAGTATTTATATACTCGACATTAGGTACATCGATTTCAATTTCACAATACAAGATATAATTGATAACTTACGGAAGTGTATCGCGATACAAGATACAAAATAATACAATTGTATCTAAGATATTTAACTATTTAAGTCACTTGTATAAGACCAAACGACAAAACATAGTCGTGATATACGAAATTATTAACATGTTAGTATTCGGTTTTCGTATACAGTGATACAAATTAAAAAACTCTACGTATTATGCAACCACAAAATCCTGTCTACAATAGGTGTCGGTTCATTTTGGATTCTGAGTAAGGGGGATATACATTGGTTTTAAAACGATGTTAAATTTTATACTGTGTACATAACTTCAGTAAGAAATCTTGTTTCAAAGTATCAAGTGTACCACCTTTTCTGAAAGAAAATTTTATCTAGTTGGTACTTAAGGATGGTCATTTTTAAAATTTTCCTTACGATTTTATAATAATTACGAAACATCATAGGGACAAACTGAAAACAAATGGCTAAGGATTTTAAGATTTCACATTTTTGTAAACTACGCTTTCTTCTAGAAATCATACATCAATCAAAAAATCACAAAAGATCATCGTTTATAAAATTTTTACTTATATAATGCAAATTTAATTATTTTACCACAATATGACGTATAATATATCATTGACATAAAGGTAATAAAAGCAACTCTATATCAATCGAATTCCGCTAAAAATCGTTTTTTCGTTAGCAATGGTTAACCTTTGCGTATAGATATACATTAAATTTCCCCTCTACTATACCTTCCCAAATTCTCACTTACAACAGTGGCCCACCC